ACGTATGTCCAAAATGGTGCCTGCTCTCTGTTAGTTTGTTAAAGGAAGACATTGTAGTGTGATCAAGAAGAGAAAAAATGTTCCCCCTTTGTTTTTTCTCCTCTAGTTTGACAGGTACATTATCCTCCACGGGGCTCTAAGCCAGATTCCCTCTATGCTCTTCCTGTAGCTTTTTCCTAGTGCCTTGGGTTGCTGCTGTTTTCACCTCACTCTCCAATGCTGGTGTATAGGTTCTTGCTACCCTCCGTGTAGGTCCACTGTGTCCCTCCAATTTACATAGAGTTTCTTCTGCTGTTTTCTCCCTACCTCTTCCCTGAGACTGTACTCTTTCTACTTTTTTAAAATACTATCTTCTCCTAGACTAGAGCAGCAAGCTCCCTCCCTACTCTACCATGTTAATATAATATCTGGTAATTCACTCCTAAAATGCCTCCAAGAGCCAGGGTTTGCCCTGGCTAAAGTCCGGAACATACATCTCAATTTGGGGGCCCCATGGGGGTAGTAGACTCAAATGCTTGAGCCATCACCTGCTACCTCCCAGAATTATGAATATCAGGATATTAAAATAAGGAGTGGAGATGGGACTTAAACCCAAGCACTCCAATAAGGGATGTGGATTTCTTAAGCTGTGTTTTAAACACAGTGCTAAATACCTGCCCCAGTATGGAACTTATATTCCAATGCACACAAAAAACAAGTAAATAAAAACAAAAAAATGAGAAAAATATGAGATTGTTGTTTGCAGTACATGTCACAAAATTGATAATGGCATATCATATAACTATGGATTAATAGTGGGTGCACAGAAGTAAGGCAGATGACTAGTTAGAATGGGTTTCTTTGAAGATATAGCATTAGAAGTAAGAATTATATTGGCAGAAGAAACCAGCCACATAAGTTATTGCAAAGGGTATTCTGTGCCTGATCAAGAGGATGTGCAAAAGTCCATGAGGCAGAAAAATTCTGGCTTATTTTAGTACAGAAAGAAGGCTTGTTTAGTTATAGAGAAGTAAAAGGAATGTGAAGAAGCAAGATAGAAATTTTCAATAAGGATTTTACTTTCCTGTAAGGAATCACATTTTTTGTTAAGTGAAGACAAAGTAATGATAAGACCTTAATTCTTTTCTTTTCTAATGATATGTTTATTGTACTGCAAACTCAGAGTTACAGAGACAGAATGAAGTGGGGGATCTTCCATCCACTCTTTCATTCACTAGATGGCCATAATAGCCAGGGCTGAGCCAGGTAGGAGCCAGGAGCTTCATCTGGGTCTCCGATGTATGTAGAAGGGGCCCAAACACGTGGACTATTTTCTGCTGCTTTTCCCAGGCCATTAGCAGGGAGCTGGATCAGAAATGAGGTGGCAAGAACACAAACCAGTATCCATATGGGATTTTGATGTCACACCCAGTAGATTTACAGGCTACACCACAATGCCAACCCCTGAGATCTTATTTCTTACTTACAAAAATCACTGTGGTGGGGCCGGCACTGTGGCTTAGCAGGCAAAGTTGCTGCCTGCAGTGCTGGCATCCCATATGACTGCCGGTTGGAGACCCTGCTGCTCCACTGCCAATCCAGCTCTCTGCTGTGGCCTGGGAGAGCAGTAGAAGATGGCCCAAAGCCTTGGGCCCCTGCATCTGCATGGGAGATCCAGAAGAGGCTCCTGGCTTCGGATCGGTGCAGCTCCAGCTGTTGCAGCCAATTATGGAGTGAACCACGGATTGAAGACCTCTCTCTCTCTCTCTCTCCCCCGCCTCTGCCTCTCCTTCTCTCTGTATCTCTGAGTTTCAAATAAATAAATCTTTAAAAATATCACTGTGGTGACTGTGTGGAAAATGGATTTGGGGAGATTGTGGTACAGAAACAGAAACTTCGGTAGGAGACTGCTGAAGTACTGAAACACAGGTGAATGCTGACAGAGGCTTCTATTTCCAAAGGTGGAAGTGCATTACCTTAAGATATATTTTGAGGAAGGAAAAGTAGTTCTACTATGAGATATAGGTGAATTGTGTAGAACTAGAAGCTAGAAGGAGAATGGAATAAAACTACTTCCTAGAGTTTTGCTTCAGCAAATGGATAGATAGCCATGCAATTTACCAAGACAAGAAGAATATGAAGAAGCAGGTTGTGGAAGGCAGTGGTAAGTTAGACTTCCATTCTTGCTATATGAAACTTGAGATTTTTATTATAATTTCAAGTGAAGATATCAAATAGACAATGATACATTAAGTTCCAGAGGTCAGGCCAAAAGAGAAGGCATGGGGTCAACCAGCATACAGATGGTGTTATATCCACAGACTTTTGTTCATTCAACTAGGCAAAGCGTATACACAGAATTCAGTAGAAGGTTTGAGACCGGGTCCTGAGGAGGAGTAAGTTTAACAGGTGAAATAGAAGGAAAAGCAGAGTTCTTGAAAAACAGAAATAATTCCTGAACCAAATACCACTGGGAGGTTAAGTGAAGTGACAAAAGTGCAGCAAACATGGGATTAGTCTGTGTGGTCATTGGTGGTCCTGACTGAAGTTGATTCTACAGGGCACTCTGCAAGTCAAAGTTCCTCTAGACAAACAGACCCAGTAGGGTTCCTGAACATATCAAAAGATTTAGTGCAAGCAATTGCCTCATGCAGTTCTGGGGCTGGCCAAACAAGGGTGAAATCTGTAGAGAATTCCATTGGAGAAGTCATGGAAGCTGCACTCCACAGGCGCACTTTCTTCTCTCTGGGGAACATCTCAGTCCTGCTCTGAAACTTTTGCATGGATTAAATCTGACTGGCTCAGATGATACAGTACAAGCTGCTTTCTTTAAAATCTGCAGGTTGTGAGACTCCGATACACCACAGAACCACCTTAGTGTTTGTTTAATACCTGAGGACTGTAGAAGATCTTCAAAAAAACAGCATTTGGAAAATGGAACTTAAAATTAAGTTTATTTTAATGCAAAATATTTTGAAGTCCATGCATAGTTTTTTTTTTTTTTTCATGGTTGCATTTTTTCCATTAATCTCATGGAAATTTCTCCTGGGGCCAGAAGATTTTCATTACTGCCATTTGTTTGGCAGTGAATAGAATGAAATTTTACATTTATAGGAACAACATTGTGAAAAAGTGATAAGAAGATTCTGGAAGGGAGGATTGGATCCAGAAGACAGGCAGAACATGGAATTTTTAGAAACTGAGAGATTAGCTCATCTCCTCCCCAAAAGAGCAAAGTACTAAAGCAACAGGATAGGGACTAAAGGCTGCAGGGCGCTAGCTTGAGATTCCTCATAGTTGTAGACTCTGTGACTAGAGTTCTTCAAGGTGGGTTCACTTACCATTACTGGCCATGTTTTCCTGGGAGCAGTTTATTCCCTGGAGGGACCTGCTAGATAGGGAACCAATTTGGAGAGAAGAAGAACTGGGCTACCTCAAAGTTGGGAGTTTTATCTTGGTCTAGAATTGGGCTTCAGCATATTGTGAGCTACTTGATTCTGTAGACAAATGTGCATGTTACTGCAGCATTTTTCTGAGTGGAGAGTGCCTTTATGGCTATGACCACATAAACCTTGATATGCAACTCAAAGTTGAGATTCAACGCCACTGTGTGTACTTGACCCTACTGTTGCAAGTGTTTCTATGCAAACATACAGTGTGGTTGAACAAGAAAGACATGTGAATAGACTAGGGAAAAAACCAAGAATGAGGGCATTTTAAGCAGTAATACAATCATCAGGCCAACACAAATGACTGGCAAAATAGTACAGATAAGTTTTTTATTTCAGCATGAAAGCTTCATTTTTTATTTGAAAAATAAACATTCATGTACTGACCACTTACTGTCAAGAAACAGGTTGTGTTAGATTCTGGTTGCTCAGATCCAGGGATAGTGAGCCTACGTCTTTGTGGGTGTCTCATACACATAGAAGGCTCTCCCTCTTTGGCCTAATGCTTTACTGATGCCTGTGTTCTGAAATATATGCTTTCTGAAAGTGCTTGTGCAGATAAATACAGGCATTTTACCAGTGAATCTCAGTGCAGAACTTTATTTTTAGCAGATACCCTATGTTCATAGTGTACTTGGAGAACTTTCTTAACATTCATTTTTTTGGGTCTTTGTTCCCAGAGACCATAATCCAGTGTGTGTGGGATTGAGCTAGAGAAATGCATTTTTACTAAGCATTTCTCATTCTCATGAATGTGAGCAGTTGATATCTCTCTGGAAAGTGGTATATCGCCCATTAGGCATTTCTGCAAGCACAACCAAGAACCTAACAAAATAATTTAGGTGACAATGCTAAGTGATCAAGTGTGCTTATTTGTTAGTGGTTGTTGGGATTCAGCATATAAGGAGGAGAATTTTACTGTGTAAGGCAGAAATTCTATAATGGAGCATTTTTAGGTTTTAGTGTAAAGCCCACCGCAGAGGGTGGTGAATAGCAGGGATGCGAAGATTCTTTGCCTAATTTTGACCTGATTCTAAAGAAATCACCAATTCTACCTATGTTTTCAAACTTCCTTTTGTGCAAGTCAGAGCTCTACTTTCAAATTCAATAGAAACATGAATGAGTGGAATGCTTATTTCTAAGACAGAAAGACTTTATGAGTTAAGGGTTGAAATGTTCCTTCTTCCCTTCTAGAACAAGAGAAGAAAGATAGCCTTTTTTTCTCTCGAGAGGGGAAGATTTCATACTATCTTGTTCCATATCTTAGAAACAACTGAGCTTAAATTTCTTTCTTATTCCAAAAGATGCATGGTTTCTCCAACTGCAAGAGCTCTTAACTTAGATTCGTACTGAGTCTTTAACACATTATCTCCAAGTTCCTTCAGCTCTAAATAGAAGAGTTTTTTTTTTTCCTGCTTCTAGGTTGATCTACACTTTTTAAAGTATACATGTCATTAAAATCTAGAAATAACTTTATGATAATAGTCATTTTCAAGGGGGACAAACTAATATTCTGTGGGTAGTGCCAGTCACAAACACAGAGCAGTGTAAATGCTATGTTAAGGTACTCACTGTATGAACATCCGTAGACCTCTACCCTCATGCCAATCTTCCCACTTGGATTCCATTCCAAGGGCACAAAGCGAACGAAACGGGCTCTCACAGAGTGTAGGAGCTTGTGGTGCACCACACTGTCAGCATTCATGTTTCCTGCAAAGGTCTGCAGAGAGAAAAAGGGACCCCATGAGCTCTGTGACACCAACACATATCTGTGAGAATCCAATTACACTATTGCGGCAAGTCCTTCAGAGAAATCTTCAATTTTCCAAACTATTTCAATGTATGTCTTGGGTGAAAATTCCCCGCTAGGTCTCATTTTTTTTTTTTTCAGAAGGACTATATAGTACTCTTAAGACATGCCTGACCTCACTTCCAAATTTTATGCACAAGGCTAATAGCATAATGAAGTTCTGATGTGCCTGATTCCAAAATCACTGTGGAATGGGTGATAATTGACAATCTCCTCTTACAAGGAAAGGTTTTTATTGAAGCAACTGTTATCATTAATTGAGGCCAGTCACTGTGCTAAACCCTTTCCTTTATCATTACCACAATTTCATAGATAAAATAAAAGAAAAATGGAAAACTGAACCATAGACTGAGAAATGAAAGACGAAAATGTCTCCAAATCACCCTGTTCATTAGTAATTGGTCTGAAATTCATTTCCAAGGTTTTCCTATTCCAAAGCCCATGCTCTTTCTACAGCCCCACACTCTTAAGTTGTCCTGTGGTTAAATGTTATAAGAGGGAGATAACACAACCCATACTTATATTAACCTACAGGTATATTTTTTTCACCTTGTCTTGTGTGGTTTAAGTAAAAGAATCCAAAGCATTGGAACAATCTGGTCTAAACACATTAAGCCTTACAGCTTTCATTTTGATGAATGATTATTGGGGGAAAATTTTTTCTTGCAGATGAAATCAAAAATCACATATCTAATCTTTCTCTTTTTTATTAAGTTGGAGTAAAATATGCATATAATAAGATTTACCACTTAAATTTTTTAAAAGTTTACTCAAATAATTTGGCAGTGTTAAGCACATTCTCAGTGTTGTGCAGCTATCACTACCATCCATCTTCAGAACATTTTCATCTTCTCAATCATATCTCATCTTTAAGATGAGATGTCAGCTAACACCAATCTGCTTGCTTCATTAACAGTCATCATCTGTCTTCTTTTCAGCCTCAAGCATTCAGAGAGAAAGTCTGCTTCCTGGTGTACAATCAACACTGACCAGTAAAAAGAAGACTCATTGCTTTTTCAAATGGCCAAAGTGAGCACCAAGTATGAGGATTTTGTCTGTTGGGTGCAATACAGTTTCAAACACCCCAGCTGTGACTCTGTATTTTTACAACACTTACAAATCTAGAGTATCTTGAACAATCTCTGACATTTCAATTACATACAAAACAGAGACTACATATTAACCCTGATATCAATTGATGTGATCACTCTCATATGTTGTGGAATGGCTTATAAAAAGGAAGAAGCTCATTCCTTCAGTTGTAGCCAGTATTGAAGCAAAATTCTCATGCAAGAGAATGGCTTGGTGGAAAGGATTTCCCTGAGATTTATATCCGACATTTCAGCCCACAAACATGTCAAAGGTTTGACCACTTTCTTTATATACAGAACGACCAAAAAACAAAAATGGCTTTATTTTGCAAGATTGCTTTTCTATATGCCCTGCTTCCAATTTTAACATCTGGCATAGGTATGAAGTTCTCCCCTGTATTTTGCTCACCTAATAAAGACTTTTCCCTCTGGATTTTTGTTCTTTTTATGTTTTGTTATACCCATACCTCTTTGATGTTTGTGGTGGATGGGGAAAGATAGGTTTGGGTAACTCTCATTGGTTCAGATAGAGGCAAACCCTTTCATTTTTTCCTACAGCTGAACTCAGAAGCCTCTGATTCAGTGCTTGGATCCCCTATTGACAAGGTGTGCTGCAGCCTCACTTTCCCAGGCATGTACAGTACATGGCTATGTAGAATTGCTTCTCTAACTCATACCTACAACAGGAATGCATTGATACTGAGGGATATAGGGGGGAGCGGCTCCTCATGGATTTTGTGTAATTTGTGGACTGAATACATCTTAAACAGCATTTGAATTCCGATTGTGTAACTCCAGAAAGTAAGGTTTATTTAATTACCTGGGGATGCTTTACAAGAATGTACCCCTTAATTCCTGTATGATATGCTCTGAGGAGAAGGAATCCTAGTTTCTCACTGAAAGGAAGTTACACGGATCTGACTTGGGCTAGCAGCTTGTTCAGGCTTCCTGTGTCTCATTCTCTAACACTCTTATGAGTGTCCTATTATCCTATAGCCACATAATTTGCAACTTCATAAAGTCAGAGTCTCAGATTCAAGTAAACATCAGGTTTCACTCATCTGAGATCTTAAAGTTTGCAATGCATGGCCCACAAGATCTCCTAGAGTTAGCAGCCTGATGTTATTTCATGTGCACTAAGTGCTGTGCTAGATACAGATTGAGTCTAAACAAAGCTGACACCAGTTCCTCCCGAAGTTCACCAAAGATTAAGGTAGTCAGCCATGTAGCAATACAGGTAGTTGAGGGCTGGAATAAAAAGCAAAGAAAAACATTCTTAGTCTCCTCATGCTTGAATTCCAAGGCCCTATTGTATATATTAAAGTCATTATCCTAACCAATGCTATCTCATTTGCCAAACAGAACACATGAACAACAATAGGAATAACAACTGACTTTTCATTAGAAATAATGGAGACCAAAACTTTCTGAAAGTAAGTCCTACTTTCTGAAAGTAGGACACTGACATCCTAGCATTCTATATCTAGCAAAAAATAGCTTTCCAATATGAAGGTAAAATAAACATCTTTTTTGAAACAAAAATTTTGTTTTATGGAAACAAAAACTGAGGTAATTTACTGCCCATGGATTCCTCATTACCACGAATAGCAAAAATCAGTATCAGACAGAATTTTCAATGTAAATGCACAAATAAAGAGCCCTCAATGGAAAATGTATAGGTATATGTCAAAGAGTATTTTCCTTAAATTTTTAAACAATGAAATGTCAAGCATAGTTTAAAGAAAAAAGCTTATATTGTGATCCTTATAATGCATATAAAAATAAGACAAATGCAACAAAAGCATTTGAAAGAATGGGAAATATTTTAACAAAGTGATTCAAGTGGGAAAAAATTAGGAATACTATAAAAGATTCAAACCACACTGTCAATAAAACTCATCAAATGGACAGCCATCGATTACTCTACTCAACAACAGCAGAGAATAAATTGTTTTTAAAAGCATTTGGCACCTTCTCTGAGACCACATCCTGCAAAATAAGTTAAATTTCAGTTGAAAGTACACAGTTTGCTTTTTGGCTATGATTAAGTTAAATTAAGAATGGAAAATAGTAAATTATCTAGAAAAACCTAAAATATTTTGAAGTTAATCCCTATACTTCTAAAGAATCCGTAGATCAAAAAGTAAATCGCAATGGAAATTAGAAAATAGTTCGAATTAAGTGTTGATAATGATAATATGCCAAAATATGTGGAACATAGCCAAATCACAACTTGTAAGAAATATGACTTCAGTGCTTTTTTACATAAGAAGAAAGACATAAAGTTAAACATGAAATTTTCCAGAAACTAAAAAAATGACAAATTATATTCAGAATTTTAATCAATCGAAATACTACTGAACAATAAAAAGTAACAAAGTCCTGATACCTGCAACATCAGAGTATGTGAAGCAAAGGAGCCATATACAAAAAGTATACACTGCACAGTCTACATGGGAAAACTTCTACAACAGGTAGAACTAGGTTCTGATGATCAAAACCAGTTCAGTACTTGGGTTGATGGTGTAAGGCAGTCTGTATTATTCTCATTTTTAGAGGAGAAAAGTTAATTTTGGAGAAGTTAAGTGAGATCCTGAAACATAAATCAAGTCTATGCAGTTAGGATACAGAGATTCTGATTAAAATCAAGTCCCTGCTTTATTTCACTCCTGTTCTGACTTCCATATGTAAGAAATGTCAGGTTTCTGCAACCACATAATTGCCGACTACCATCGTATCTACCATTTTCAACATGTTCCTCCATGCCAGTCATGTGATATACCCTTTACATATCTGATTTTCTTTGGCCCACATATCCTTAAAGAAGCTCTTAGTCAAATTCTTCACTAAAAGAGGCACCCATAACACACACACACACAATGCTTATCCTACCTGAATTTGAAATACATCTTACAATTGGGTGATCAGTTAAGTTGGTGTCACCATGCCACAGAGGAAATCCCAAGATTCACAGAATTAATGACATGAACACTTGCAAAATCAGCACAAGTCCTCTTCCATTTCCAACTTTAGTGACATTATATACATCACTTCTCAGATGCTTTCTTGTTGTCCACTTGTCACTTGTCCCAACTCAAAGCAATAGCACATAGAATTTGGACACAGGCCCACATGATTGCAATGAAATAAATCCTACCAGGATTATTGCCATTAAATATACTATGTATTGGGTCCTTAACAGCATATCTCAGTGCAGGAGTTGGTTTTTCTTTTCCTGAAGTTGAAGGACTTGAGGTTCAGAGAAGCTGAGTTCTTTTTAGGAGCACAGAGGTAATGGCATTTGCTCTTTGAAGAAAATCTCTATCTCCTGTATTCCACTTTTGAAAACTGACAGGGCAAGCATGATGGCAAGGCAAGTTCAACTGCTGCCTACTCCATTGGCATTCCACATGGGTTCTGGTTTGAGTCCCAGATGTTCTACTTTCCATTCAGATCCCTGCTAATGTACTTGGGAAATTAGCAGAGGATAGTCTAATTTCTTGGGTCCCTACACCAATGTGGGAGATCTGGAAGAAGCTCCTGGCTCCTGGTTTCAGCCTGGCCCTGCCTGGGCTGTTGCGGCCATTGGTGGAGTAAACCAGTGGATGGAAGATGTCCCTCTCTCTCTCTCTCTCTCTCTCTCTCTCTCTCTGCTTTGCAAATAAATAAAATAAATCTTTTTTTAAAAAAAGAAAACTATCCACTACATATGGCCCAGAAATACTAAAAAAAAATGGCCATGAAGATAGGGGTCGCAAGAGTTTATTCATGATTGACAGTATGGAAGAGTATACAAGAGCCTCATTATCTTCCCCTCCA